GTTGTGCATATTAGTCTTCGATTAGGAATGACTGAGGCAGCACCAACATCTCTGCATCTAACTTGTGGGGTACTTGCTTGGGAGTGTGATATGACAGTAACATAACTGGAGTAGTAAGAAAAGTGGAGAACACGAGGATAATCTGTAGAAAGTATTAGCCCAACTGGAATCGAAAGTACCTCTAGCTCTAAGCCACTTGGCCTATTAGAGAAAGACTTCATGATAATAGAATAAGTAGGCTAAAACTCAGGATACGCAATAATAACTCAAAATGACTAGGCTAGTAGTACATTATACAAATAGAGTTTGTATACCAGAAAACTAAAGAATATTAAGATTAATTAGAAGTATTATAATATGAAAACTACTATCTGGGGAATCAACTTTCCCCAACAATCACTCATACCAAACTTACGGCTAACAAAAACAGAAACTTGTTGAAGGAAAGTAGAAGAGACAACTACAAATAATGGTTTTTACAGAGGTCAAAGCTTTAACTTGATTTTCTCCGGACTCTTCTGTATATTCAGTATGCAACTTAAAAGCATTCTTGCACAAGATAACTAGCAAGAAGGTGGTGCCCTTGTGCAAAAAATTTTAATAGAAGCCCTGCTTCTGCTAACGAAGTTAAAGATAGTTAGTCTAAGAAGAACAACAAGCGAGTTTTCAACACACTCTTTACCGAAGTTTAAAGATACCCGCAAACCAAAACCCTATACCAAACTCCACTTTTTGCACTTTTCAAAATTTTCACCAAAAAAATAGGAAAAACAGTGTACCTTCAACAAAAGATTGACACAGTAACAGCTGCCGAAAAAGGAAAGTTACATACATGTGTACGTGTCTACTTTGGAATAAATAGTGGTAAATAATATGATAATGTTTGAAGCACTGCAGAAGACTCCCGACCTAGTTGGGATAGCACCGAAAGTTTCAACCTTGAAGCTCTACTTCAAGACCGGATGGTTTTTAACATTTTTACATCCTGGATATAGACATAAATAACTAGCATAGAGTTTAGTCTAGTTTATTTGTAGTACTATATAATTTTTACAATCCAGCACGGGTTTAATAGTGCTATTTTTGTTTCTTTTTTTTGTTTTCTTTTTTTTGTTATTTGTTTTATTTGGTTTTATTGGTTTAGGTGGACCAAAACTTGACACCGTAGTACTTCTCCATTTTTATTTTGCTCTTTATATTTGTGTTTGTACTTCATATTGAAAAAAGGAAAGCTAACTTTGATACGGTATGTGGCATCAGCCCATGACAAAAGGATAACCTCTAGTGAGTTAGGGGCCCGGAGAGAGGCTTGAAGTTCACTGAGGCAAGTCATACCTGGCAAAAGCGTGGATATGTCACTTTACGGGTAGATTAGTTATAGCTATTATTAGGGAATGTAAATTTCTTAGTATAGTTTAATCTCAATAAAAAGTGGCAGGACAGTCGAATTATAAAAAAAAAAAAAAACTACTATCTGAGAGTTATAAAGTAACTTGTAACACAACACAGTGAACTTGTATTAACATACAGGAGTATCTACCCAATGTGATAACAGAGATTAGCAAGCATACTAACTAAACTAGGCATTATTAATGAAGGCTTAACCTGGGTCAACATGAAGCCTACTGATAGGACTCATCTGAGCAAGCTAGCTGAGATTCACCAAGATTGAAAGTAGCCTAATTAGACTACAAGGTCTTCCTATAAAAAGAATTACCAAATTTGAGAGCTTGGATATAAATAGTATGAGTGATGCAAAGAATATCATTGTAGAGAAGTGTACTGAAATAGAACTTGTAAAGGGTGATAAAATACCAGGTAAGTGTATTGATGATTATGTACCACTCTGATAGGTTTGGATCACAGATATTTAGATTAGTAGCCAGTAGTAGATGGAGGCACCTATTACGCAAATAATGGTTTTAGCTAAAGCATAGGTTACTAATAGGATTTGAGTCTGAGCTTGGTGTACTTGATATATATAATGTGAAAATGTAGCAATATATATAAAAGTATTAATAATAAATAAAGTCATGAACAAGATCCCACCTTAATACCAAAAAAAAAATATATATATTTGATTACTTTTTTTTATAATTTACACTTTTTATTTAGATATTTAAACTATAAAAAATTATAATAAATTTTTTTACTATAGTTTTTATTAAATATCAACTCAGAAGCTTACTTGAAATATTATTAGCTTTAATAAAACTTGGCCTTTTTCAATTTTTTAATTTATTAAAAATTTGATCTTTTTAGTTAATAGCTGATATTTATATATATATTTAATTATATTTAAATAGTTATATTTAATTTTAATTTAACTAATCTAATTATATAAACTAAAACTAACAAAAAAAAGCAAAAATTAAACTAAAATATAATTTAATTTATATATAAAATTAAAAATTATATACTATAAAACTACAAAATATCAGTATATTTTTATTAATTGCTTATTTAAAAATACTTTTATTCCTACTTTAAAAGCTATAAGCATTAGCTTCTAAAAAGTTTTATATATATTTGTATAAAATTTTAATATAACAAGTTATCATCTTACAATCTATAGTTTGCAGATCAAATATAGTATAGTGGACACTGTCAGCAAAATTTCTGAAAAGCCACATCATGTGATCATATAATGTACATTAGTGGCTTGATTTTGTATAATCGCAAATAAGCTGCATTAATGAAGCCATTTGATCTGATCTTGTGATCATGCGAAGTGGCTACTATAGCTCTTTGCAATTACACAAAAGCCAAGCCACTAACATTACATCATGTGATCACATGATGTAGCTTTTCGAAAATTTTGCTAATGGTGTCTATTATACTATATTTGATCCTAGTTTGCAAATATATTTCAAATTTCTAATTTAGAATTTATCTAATAATAATATTATATTTGATATATTCTTTGTTAATTATTTTATATCTAAACTTTCTAATATAAAAATGGACATGACTAGATAGTATTCTATACACTTTGTGCTCTTTACTATAAAATCGCCAATATCTTAAAATTTTAACTAGATAACTCCTGTCATATAACATAAGCAAAACTATTTCTCTTACAATTTTACTTTACTCTAACCCTAAACCTAACCTTAAATCTAACTTTAACCTAATCTAATTACTATTGCAGGCTCAATTTTGCTATAGAAACACAAAGTGCTCTGGGCACTGTTTAGATTTATCCTATAAAAATATAAACAATATCAATCTTTTAATAAAAATAAACTAAAATCTTCACTTTTTAAAAAATCTAACACAGAGTATAAACAAAAAAAAGTTATTTATTGCAAAATACTAACTAAGACATGTTCATGTTGTTTATTTTACCTTTTCATCTTTTCTACTTAACTTTTTGTATACTTGCTATTTTCAAAAACTTCTCCAGTTTGGATGCCAAACACAAAATAAAATCCACCCTAAGTAGACCAAAAAAAAGGCTTAATCCCTATACAAACCATTCAAAATGTCTATATATTGGTATATCAAATTTAAAACTTTATTAACAACAGTTTGTAAACAAAACTAACAAGTAGTTTAGATCACCTTTGAAGATTAAAAAAAAAACAAAAAAAAAACAAGTAGTTTAGACTTCTTGGTCTTGAGTCTTCACCTTGTAGTTGGAAAAAAATTGATTCAAGTGATCATCAGAAAGAGTTACGAATTAATGATACTTGATTACTTTTAACTTTTGTAAAAACTGATTAATATTTAATATTAATATATCTTTGCAATATAGTTGTATCTGTTTATACTTTAGTACTACCAGCCTAGTATCCCCAATTAATTTAAATATTTTATTTATTTTCTAGATAAGAATCACGTTCTGATGCTCGATACCTTCCTTGGTTGTTTCACCTGCTCAATGTTTCGGATGAAATCTCGTATGTTTTTCGGATTTCTTGTTTCTCGGTATTTTGTCGTTGACATTAACATACGAAAACCAGACTTATTTATATTTGATAAAGAATATTGAATCATCGTCAATGATGAAATGATGACAATTCAATATTCTTTGTTATTATTAATAAAATAATATAAAATACTATTGTTAAAAATAACAATCAATAAAATAAATAGCAAAATGTTCAGACAATGACTATAGGATATGCGAGTATAGATTAATTAGGATGCTAAACAATTTTTTGGATAGCACAAAGTGAGCCCAGAAACCCGGCCATATCGTTATGGTTTTTCTTTTTTGTTTAAGATTTACTATATTATGGGGTAACATAATAAAGGCCTAGCTAAATTTGATTTTTTAAAAAAAAGCCACCCCTCATCAACGAAATATTTGTTAATAATAAATAAGTACGTATGAATTATGTAACGAAAATTTTATATATAGTAATTATATATATACTCTACGTAGTAATAAAAAACCGCTACCATTCTCGGAGAATACGTACAAATAGTTACCCCCGTTAAAATACCCACATCCGTTAATTTAAATAGTGACACGATAGTAACCAGGAGATATCAATCGTTAAACATTGAGAATATCGATATAAGAGACTGCAATACTTGCTGAGGAGTTGCGATCAAATAATTAAAATAACTGATTTTCTATATCACTATTTATCAAAGTACTGCACATACATACTTAAAAATGCCTGAATGAATGATACTAACGCTAATTACTCAAAAACTGGTTTTTGATATTTACTCTCATTCAATTTATCGATTTTTTCGACATTTTTGTGAATAGTAAGTCGTACACTTATTATTTTTATTATGCATAACTTAGGTAATACTGTACACATACATTTATATATTGATACGTATAATTTTCACACAAAATAAAATCCAATGATCAAAAATTTTTTTTTCTTCAATCGTCATAGTGAAAAAAGATGGTATTTACAATCTCCTAAATTCAAATTGTTTTTTTTTTTAAATTGATTATTTATAGTAACTAATATAATTTTATTATCACATAATGGCAGATTCTATATCTGTTCATTTTTAGTAGACATGGAAAAATGCGTTTGAAAAAATGGTTCCATTTTTTTTCTGATAAAGAAAAAGCGAGCCTAACAACAGACTTAACTACATTAATATTATCTCGTAAACGATCAATGTGTAATGTATTGGAACATGGTGAACACAAGGTCTTTTTTTTGTTTGACTGCATTCCTTTTTATCACGAAGTGTGCATTCTTCTTTAAAAATTAATGTTTATTCTATTACTTAGGTTATATACAAAAGGTAGCGTCATCACGAGCATTAGTAAATATATATATATTTATTTATTTAAGCTTTTAAGCTTAGGACTTTTTTTTTTTTTTTTGAAAAATACAAGATATGCCAGTCTTTATTTTGCGGCGGGTATAGATCGTGAAGAAAATGAATTATACGTCTTAGAAGTGATACATCGTTATGTACAATTACTTGATGAATTTTTTGGAAATGTATGCGAATTAGATATTATTTATAATTTTGATAAGGTATTTTTTTTTTCTTTATTAATATATGTTTTTCATTCTATAATTTTCTTAGTTTTTAGGACTAACTTTAGGTCTTTGTAATTTTATAAATTTAAAATTATTTAGGCGTATCATGTGTTAGATGAATTGGTTTTAGGTAACATGTTTTTATAAATATATTCAATATATCAATAACGTACTAATTTATGTTTTAATTTATGTTAATGCTATTTATCCAATTTATTATTTTATAAAAAGCTGGTGAATTGCAAGAACCTGGTAAAAAAGTGGTTATCAGTAAGTTTCTTTTCATTTTATTTGAAATTATGATTAACGTTCATTTTTACTCACTCCTCTAAATCATATAATATAGGTCATGTAAACGCATTCGAACATGCATGTCAATTGGATATAATAACAAGAAATGTTGAAAATTCTGTAATATAGTTTATTATTTGAACCGAGCTAAATATACAAGCTCCTTAGATTTATTCTATGCTATTTGATTTATGTATTGCTTAGATTCTTTGGTATAATTGTTATTTTTTTTTTATTTTTTATTTTTTTTTATTTGTTTTTTTTTTCTTTGAAATATCTAATGAAGAGAAATTTGTATAATAACTTTACGTAATATCGTAATATTGGCAATAATAATTATAAGCATTCAAACACATAGAATTCAGATATCCTTAGAAATTATAATTAATCGTAAATAATTAAAATAATTAGAAGCTAATCTTTTATCTAATAAAACTAGTTTTATCCCTTACATCACTTACAAATATAAATAACATATATATTTTTGCTTGCAAATTTGTAGACAAGACTGCTCATCCTCTCAAGAGTTTTTAGCCAATGCCTTCTGCTAATAATAAGTCTTCTTTATCTTTCGTGC